GTTGAATTTGAGGCTTAAAATAAACTCATTCTGGGTACCCCTAGCTAGTGCAGGTTGCTTTTCCTGGAGTCTAGCATACAACCCCAGGAAATGTGCCATTCTGTGCTGTCCCTGCCAGGCCAGCTCTTGCTGACCTGAGAAGGGAATATGCAGTTGGGTGTAGAGAGGGCATGCAGTGGTCAGAGCACAAAGCCTACTCCAACACTAACTAGCTTTGTCCCACCAGGTAAGTTATTCCTAAGTCCAAATCAGATCTCTCAACAACCACATGGAGGTGATGGATCCACAGAGGTGAGACAATAATGGTACCTGTCTGTAATGGTTTATTTTACATGTCAAGTTGGCTGGGCCACGGTGCCCAGGCGTGAGGTCAAACATTATTCTGGATGTTTCTATGAGGGTGTTTTTAGATTAAATTAACATTTCAATCAGTGGACTTTGAGTAAAGCAGATTGCCCTCCATAATGTGGGTGGGCCTCATCTAATAAGTTGAAGGCCTTAATAGAATAAAAGACTGACCGCCCCTGGGCAAGAGGGTGTGTGCAGCAGATGCCTCCAGACTTGAACTGCTACATTGGCTCTTCCCTGGGTCTCCAGCCTGCTGGCCCATCCTGCAGATTGTGGACTTGTGAGCCTCCACAGTCACATGAGCCAATTCCTTAAAATAAATCATATATATATATATATATATATATACACATCCTATTGGAGAACCCTGACAAATATACTGCCTTACAGGGGTGAGTTGTACAAAGGGCTTGGTTCAGCACCTAGCATGGACAGTGCTCTCGATACACATGAACTATTATTATAACCGAGAGAACAGCTTTGGTGTCCTATGGCCACAAATCTGTCTGGCTCTGTCGTGTCCTGTCATCCACCACCTCCTCTGAGCTTTGGTTTGCTCACCTATGAAACTGAGAAGTGGAATATTGCCTGCCATATCAGTAAACAAAGGATACACAGTCATCAGCGATTGTAGCCACTGCCGATGGTGATCCGGTGAGCCCTGAGGGAACTCAAGAAGGAAAAGCATACCTGCTATCTAGCAGCCATCAGACTGCAGCCACTCCCCCTCGGTGAGCCCCGAGGAAACTCAGGATATGAAAACACAGGATACTGGCCCCAGATAGGTGAGGTGCATATCAAAGGAATAATTTCGGTAAGCCCAGACTCTTGCATCTTCCCATATATAGAAAAGCACTAAATTCCTTGAGAGGTCTGGTTTTCTTTAATTAACAATAATCTTTTGACGTTCAGACTACCTACCCTTTGTTGCAAAATTCCTATATATCCTAGCTCCCCATCGTTGCCTCTTTGGAGCAGTTCTCAGGGCTACTTGAGATGCTGCCTCCCCGGCTTGAAGTCCTAAAACTTCCCACCGAATAAAACATAACTCTCAGTTTTTAGGTTGTGCAGTTTTTTTCAGTCGACAAAATGAGGATGATAGCAGCTCTCCACTTGAGTTGTGAGTATGCTTAAGTAGAGCTCAGGTTTGTAGAGTTCCTAGTACTGTGCCTGGAATTCATCTGTTTGCTCGTTCACCCCACATGCATACTGGTTGTGCCACTAACTGTTCAAATGCTGGAGACACAAAGGGCCTGAGTTCCTGCCCTTGGAGAGCTTATGTTCTAGTCCAGAAAAGGTAGACAATAAACACGTAAACAAACAGGTGGGATAACTTCACACCATGGTACATGCTGTGCAAAACATAATACAGGATGGTGTGATGAGAATGGCTCTGAGGAGGTGACACTCGAGACCCAAATGACACTAGTGGAGATCTGGGAGAGGGGGATGTCCAGCGCAGAGGAGGCCCTCAGCTGGTATGCAGCTTTACCATTGTTGTTAATAATAACTTGAGATGCTACAGCAACAGAGAGCACTAAATCATCGCCTGCTGCTTGTGCAATGTCACTTCTCAAAGGCGTTTCCCCAGTTGAGCTGTGGCTCCTGGTCAGTATATTTCCTTGGATTTGACCACAGATGTCCCTAACGTCCCCATGTCCCCAGTGTTTCACGGGAACTTTATATCCAGGAGATGAAAACTCTAGGTTGCAGTCCGCAGAAATGATGGTTAATTGGCACCCAGCAAGCCTTGGGGCCCCTCCCTTGCTCACTCATTCATTCAGTAAATGACCACCGGCCCCTACACCCTGCAGGGTGTGTGTCTTCCGAGCAAAGAGCTGAGCCTGCTGACGACAACGAACCACTTGAAGTGGACCGAAGGATTAAAATAGACTTATTAAGAGGGAATTCATCTATCAGAACCTATTATAACAAGGGTCTGGTGCTGTTTCCACAACTTGGGGCACCACCTCCCTAGGATTCTGGGAGAAACACAGTGTGCCTTTGGTGGGGGCCCAGCTGGATCCAGGGCCTTTAGTTTTGTCCCTGGTAAGATGCTCCCGGGAATGGCGATTGGAGACTGTGATGACAGACCGTAATTCCAACCCCAGCAAGTCTCAGCTGAGTCTGTGGCCAGGCTGGGGAGGTGCTGGTGTTAGATTGTTTCGTGTCCTCTGAGCCCTCGGCCCCCTACTCCATGGTCTTTTCTATCTCCCCTATGACGGCCCGACATCAGTGCAGTTCTCTCTCCTGATTGAAAGCTGTCTCCAGGAACCTTCATCCACAATAAGGTACAAATGATGGCTGGAACCTTTCGGCAGGAATTCGAGCAGCACCTAACAGTTCGTGATGACCATTTTGTTTGCCTGTATTGTTCCCTCAATGGATGCGTTACCTGCACTGAGGGTGGGGCCCACGGAGGTTGCCATGGAGTCTGGGAAGATGCTGGCCCACTTCTCCATTTGCCCACGACTCTGAGAAGACAGGCCCTCTGAGCCAGGGGTCTTCTCCACCGGAGCTAGCAATGCTGGGCATCAGAAAGGTGACCGGCAGTCTCCTCGCGGGTGAACAGGAGAAAGAAGAGTAGAGACAGAGAGTGGAAGAGGAGGAAAGGAGAGAAGGGGAGAGGGAAGCAAGGAGGTGGGAGAAGGAGGCAGGACTCAGCTCAAAACGACCCAATCAGAGGCCCCCAAGTGACGGCTGATTTTCTGCATCAATTTGACTGGGTCATAGGGTGCCCAGTTATTTGGTTAAACATTCTTTCTGGGTGTGTCTGGGAGGGTGTTTCTGGATGAGATTAGGATTTGAATCTGTAGGCTGAGTAAAGCAGATCCCCCCCCCCCAAAGTGGGTGGGCAGCACCGAATCCATCGGGAGAAAGGAGGAATTTCTCTCTCTCTCTCTCTCCCCCCGCCACCACCCCCGTCTCCATCTCCCTCTCCATCTCTCCCTCCCTCTCTCTCTGCCTGACTACTTGAGCTGAGTTTTCTCCTGCCCTCAAACTAGAACTTAACCATTGCCTCTCCTGGCTATCAGGCCTTTGGACTCAGACCAGAACTACACCACCAGCATTCCCTGGGTCTCCAGCTGGCTGGCTGCAGACTGTGGGACTTCTCAGTTCCCATTACTGCCTGAGCCAATTCCTTATAATGCAGATAGATGGATAGACAGACAGCTCCTATTGAGTCTGTTTCTCTAGAGAGCCCTGCCTAATACACCCATCCATCCACTCTTGACTGGTTCCTCCCACTTACTCTCTGTCACAAGGCCTCATTTCTTTCCTTCACGGCACTTATCACTACCTGCAATTATAGTTTTGTTTACTTGTTTGTTTTATATTCTACCCATAAGATTACTGAGGCCCAAGCGAGCCGGGGCCCCACCTTCCTTCTGGAAGGTGTACCCACAATTCCTGGACCAGGGCACTTAGCAAGCACTCAGTAATTCTTTGTGGAGGCAAAGATGCAAGAGAGCAATTAGGAAGAAACATAAGGAATATATTATGGGAAACAATGGAAAGATGCTTCCCCAAATGTCCCAGGAGCTTCTCACCAGCCCCTCGTCTAAGTGTCAGTAACCGGCAAGGTCTGCTGGGTGCATGGCATTGTTTCACACTGTCTCTGAACCAAAGTGCTGCAGTCCACACCCAGGAAAACACTGCCTGTCACAGCCTATGCTCCAAAGAATGTCACACACACCCTAAGGCCACTGATGGAGGTTTTACAGAAGCCAAGTCCCAGGTTTTTTTGTTTTTTGTTTTTGTTTTAACATTTGTTTGGTCTGATATAACCTGCTTTTTGGAATCCTGGCCTCCAGGAAAGTTTATCACAAGTTCTGGAGATGACAAGTCTGGAACGGTGCCAGCACAGAGAATGAACAGGCGTTATTCAGTTGAGGCGGGACTCAAGGCTGAAGGAGGTGGCGGGGCAGAATGGAAGCAACTTGGCTTTGCTTCAGAGGGAAGAGCGACTCTCGGCAGAGGCCGTCACAATTGTACAAGAACGACTGTTCTTCCTTTACCACTTGCTACCTCTTAGGATAAGGATCAGGGTTTGAGTCCTGTCAACAAATGTTTTTCTGACCTGCTCACCAAAATATAACAACAAACACCCTTTGGCCAGGTTTTAGCTTTTTCCTCGGTGCCATTTTAACCAGATGTGGGGTTGTTCTCTGCGTAACACCCTAAGGTGGCTGAAGCCTATTCCAGAAGGGGCAGAAGTCCCGCTCCCATGGAGACGGACCTGAACTCCCATCCCCACTGTCTAGGCTGCTGCCTCTCAGGAGGAGGGAGAAGCTGCCCGGCTCTGCGGTCCAGGTCAGAGAAATGGACGGCACAAAGTCATCTGTGCAGGTGAGAGCTGCCAGTCTTCACATGCCCTGCGCTGTTTTCAGCTGTCAGCTCTGAAACCTGATTCGGTCCCCACACGCACCTCAAGCCGAGAGGCAGGCTCTCCTCGGGGACTCCTTCCTGGGCTCCTTCGCTCTGCGGATTCTAAACTCTGAGATCAGAGGTCTCAGTGGGTGCGCCCAGGGGGCAAGGCTCCGAGCAGGCGCTGCTCTGGTCACTGATGGTCAATTCTCCGTTTTCAGCATTTCCCTCGGAGGAGAGCCACCTGCTGGGGGTCTGGACAGCGAGGAGGGGGTGCAGGTGACTCAGTCGTCCTCATCCTCGTCTTCGTCCTCAGTGTCCTTGTTGGGGGCGCACCTCTGGAAGCACTGCACCACGGTGGCCAGAAAGAAGCTGGAGATGATGGCGGCGATGGACACAGCCACGCCAGAGAAGATGATGATGAACAGGTCTGTGAGCGAGAGGCTGAACTTGCACTCGCTGAAGCTGGCCTCCGACAGCTCTTGCAGCAATATCCTCCTGTTCTCCATGGGCAGGGAGCATTGGATTTCGTCAAGGCCTGTGAGAAAGGCAGGCAGAGAGAGAGGTTTAGGCCGCAGCCCAGGATTGCCTACAAGTTAGCAAGGTGAGTGCTTACCAGGTGCAAAGCAGGCGTGTGCCCCCAAACACAAAAGGGGGAAAAAGTTGACTTGAATGCAATTTAAACGTTTTCGAAAAGCCTCAGGGGAATCACATGGAAGAAACCAGAATGTGCTCGTCTCCCTTACTTTAAGGTGTGGCACTCTTGATTTTGAATCACTCAAGGTGGTGATGGAAGGGAGCATAATCTTTTTAGGGTTTAGAAGCTCTGTAGACAGTAATCCAGATCTGGTAATACCCAGCGCCCTCGGGGCAGAGGGCGGGGCAAGGCTGTGGGATGCGGAGGGGCGGTGCCAACCAATGGCAGTACCCTCCAGTTTGTAAGGCAGCTTCCCAAGAAGAATGCCAGCCTCCTTTCCACTGCCACCCAGGAGAAACTGAACAGAGGATCAGTGTAGCGCTGTAGAAACTCCACTCACTACCCTAGAAGGGTTTTCCCTTGGCAGGAGTGGGGAAAATAAATATGTAGTTATGATGCTTGCATGAGCTCCTCTGTGCTTCAGAATCACCTGAAGACTATACCGAAATCCAGATTGCCAGGCTCCAACCCCTGGAGAATCCAATTCAGCAGGCTGCACTGGGACCCCAGCCTCTGCATTTTTAAAATCCAGGTGATTCTGATGCTGCTGGTCCACAAGGCACACGTGAGAAACATTATCTTCTAGCTGGTGAGAGAGACTGAGGGGTTTGAGAGAGAGTTCCTGGGACACCCACCCCGCTACAACCAGAAGAGCCCTTGTAAACTCTGCTTTATATATTGGGGTTCCCTTTAAGATCTCACTTGAAAAGTGTCTGGCTAATTGAAAAAGAAGTTTCAAATCCACAGGTCAAAAAAAATGTTACATCTGGGTATGTGCTGAGACAGTGTGTCATAGCAACAGCAATAAATGCAATCTAGAGCTTAGCATGGGCAGGCACTGTTCTAAGCACTTCACACATAATAAATTGTTTAATCCTCACAACTCCGTGAGATAGGTCCTGCCATCATCCCCATTTTACAGATGAGGAAACAGGCTCAGAGAGGTAAAGTAACTTGTCCAAAGTGGCACAGCTAGTAAGTGGCCTAGCTTGGACTCTAACTCAAACAATTTGCCTCCAGAGACCTGGCCTGCAGCCACTGTGCCTCCAAAAGGAACAGAAAGCAGGTGTGGGGCTGGAGAGGAAAGCCAGGAAGAGAGGGGCCAGGGGCACAGGAAGCCAACACTGTCTTCTCATGGCTGCCACCAAGAGGAGTGGTGGTGACAGCAGTTGTCGGTCACCTGGGGGTGAGGGACATGTTCCTAGTGTAATGGATTTATGGCATTTTAGAGATACCGCTGTATGACTGCTCCTTTATCAGTTAGCGGTTCCTCTCGGGGTACCCCATCTGCCATCAAGTGAAATGGGAGGGCAGCTACGAGACCCCCACCCCAAATTCATATGTTGAAGCCCTAACCTCCAATGTGACTATATTTGGACATAGGGTCTCTAGGGAGGTAATTAAGGTTAAATGGGGTCATAAGGGTGGGGCCCTGATCAATAGGACTGGTGTCTTTATAAGAAGAGGAAGAGATAACTGAGAGCTCTCTCTTTCTCTCTGTGTGTGCACAGAGGAAAGGCCATGTGAAGAAACAGTGAGAAGGTGGCCATCTGCAAGCCAGGAAAACAGGCCTCAGCAGAAACCAAGCCTGCACACACCTTGATCTTGGACTTCTAGCCTCTGGAACTGTGATAAAATAAATTTCTGTTGTTTAAGCCACCCAATCTGTGGTATTTTGTTATGGCGACCCTAGTAGACTAAAAACAATCCTCACTGGACAAGAACAAAAGATACAGACTTGTGTTAGTATTAAGCTCTAAAGACTGCTCGTTATCAAGCATAATCTGCACATCCTGATGGATATACAATATGAACTACAAACAAAGTCAAGTTACTATCATAATTTCACAAACTTCGAATATAAGAAAATGCATGATATTAAAATGCATAAAAAGGTCAGACCTTTTTTTGATCTGGAAGAGGAGAGAAAAATAAAGTAATAGTCCCTAATATTCATATAGCACTTACTACATGCAAACACTGTTCTAAGTTCTATATGCATATTAACTCTTAATTCTCACAACAACTATTATTACACCCACTTTATGAGTGAGAAAACTGAAGCACAGAGAATTTACACACCTTGCCTTCAGCAACACAGCTTCACGGGGATGTGAAGACACCGTTCTGACATTAAGCTCACCTGCCTGCAATTTCTGTTTATCTTCGGCGTCCTTTCAGTTCTCAGGAAACCTTCAATTATTCTCTTTTTCAGTGCTTCCTGGTTTCAGAAAGCTGCCTTCAACCCATATCCAGCATAATCTGAAAGTCAGAATGATTCCTCACACCTCACTAATTAGCTGGTTTCTGTTCTGCAAAGAGCAGCCCTGTTAATTGCACAGCAATCCTGCCACCACCCTTTGGGTCTTTATTGTGTATCTTTCCTTCTAGCTCAGAAACAGAAGGTGAAGGAAGAATGACTGAGCTTCCTCCTTCCTTCTGTCCTGACCCATCTTTTATGCAGTCTACAGCCAACCCACTGATGCTCTTCTCCCCATGGGAACTGTTGCTCAGCAACCATACTCACGTTCCCTCCTCTCCCTGATTGGATGCCTACCTTAGATATCCAAGGAATTAGCTGGACCAAAGCTCTGCAGGTTTCTCCAGTTTACACTTGACTACGTTTTTGACTATTTCTTGTCTTAAGCCAAGCTTTTGTTTACTTCTGAGCATTTTAAATGCATTTGAACAGAACAGGAGAGCTTTATGAAGAGTTATTGTGGGGTTCCCTTGCAGACATTATTTTTTTCAATGGAAAAGCAGGAAAGTCAATTGACCTGCCTCTTCTTAACATCCACCCCACCCCTCCCCGCCAGCCAAAGATGTTACAAAAATAAAAAAGATGGACACCGTTGGACTACGTGAAGCTCAGGCAGTTTCTAAAACGAAGATAATAGTTGCCATTTTCAAACCCGTAACAGGTCATTATTAAAGAGAGAAAAGGTCTAGAAGTCATTTTTTCAATGAGCTGTATTAACTGGCAAACACCCCAACAAAACAACACAAGCCCACAGAGCCTGCCATTTAAATCCAACCTTTGCTGGCCACGACTCCTCAAGTCGATTCTGATTTCTACAGTGTTCTTTGTGCCTTGAGATTGCGCCTGGCATTTTTACAAAGCAACACTTTTACAGACTGTCATCTCACATTTCTCTGTGGCCAGAGGAAACAGGCTTGCTTGAAAAACAGCACACACAAGCCCACCAGGAGTGGGAGGCTCTGGACCCACGCTCAACTGAGCCATCACTTAATGGGTTTTCGTAGCTCACAAAGGGCAGAGAAATGAGAGTCAGCAGGACCCAGCAGAGGGGGGCAGGGCACCGCTGCCGGCTGCTCTAAGGACACAGTCAAGGCCGACTGCAGAACTCAGGAGTTGGAATAATCTGACTTTGGGGTCCCCTCTTCTCTCCTGCTGGAGCTACTCTAGACCAGGGTTTCTCAACCTCGGCACTACCAACATTCGGGCCTGGATAATTCTTTGAGGTAGGAGGCTGTCCTATATACTGCAGGATGTTTATCATTATCCCTGTCCTCTACCAGTAGCATCCCCACCCACAGTGTGACAATCAGTAATGTCTCCAGACAGTGCCACATGTCCCCAGGAGGAGGTCGGGGAAGGAGACAGAATTCCCTGGTTGAGAACTGCTGCTTTAGACTGAAATGCTCAGCTAAGTAGGTAAGCTTCTAAGGTAGGGCTGCTCTTGGCTACTAGGCAGACATTTAGCTGTTCAATGGCTTTTTAATTTATGCATTAAATGAAATGGGTAAGGCTTAATGTTAGATACCAAAAAAAGAAAAGAAAAGAAAGGAGAGAGAGAAAGGACAAAAGAAAGAAGGCAGTAAGGGGGGGAGGGAGGGAGGGACGGAAAGAGGGAGGAGAAATAAAGAGGAAGACGCAGTCCTGGCCTCAAGGAACTTAGGTCTAATAGGGGCAGCAGGACACAAGCATAAATAGTGATATTTTAGGAGAGAGAGTGAGAAGTCACACAAGAGGTCCAGTGAAAGCCGGAGAGAAGTTGCCAGGAGAGTGCGGGGTAGGGGTCTCTGTGGGGGAGGCCCGGAGGGACAGAGGGAGGATGGCTGGTCATGAGCCGTGGCGGGGAGGAGGGGAGTCCATGTGATGTCCCTACTTGATTTGAAATGTTCTCCCTCCTTTTCTGAGCCCACCTCCTCAGCTGTCTGAGTTAAGAATAGTAAACAAGAACCAGTATTTATGGGGCACTTCATGTGTGCCAGGCCCTGCTCTTAGGGCTTTATACACATTAGCTCACTGAATCCTCAGGCCAACCCAAAGAGGAGCCTCTAGTCATCCCCACTTTACAGATGTTCAAACTGAGACACAGAGAAGTCAAGTGACTTGCCCAAGGCCACACCGCCAGGAAACAGACAGAGCCTAGACTGACACCAGCCACTATGTGGTCCCACCCACTTTCCCGGGCAGGGAGACCTAAGGCTGCACCAGCCCCACCCAGTGCCTCAGAACAAGTTCCCTCCTCCAGGCAGCGTCTTTTTTTTAATTTTTTTTTATGGTGTAGAGCATTCCTTTCTTTCTTTTATTTTTTTTTTAAACATCTTTATCGGAGTATAGTTGCTTTACAAGGGTGTGTTAGTTTCTGCTTTATAACAAAGTGAATCAGCTATACATACACATATATCCCCATATCTCCTCCCCCTTGCGTCTCCCTCACACCCTCCCTATCCTACTCCTCTAGGTGATCACAAAGGTCTGAGCTGATCGCCCTGTGCTATGTGGCTGCTTCCCAGTAGCTATCTATTTTACATTTGGTAGTGTATGTATGTCCATGCCACTCTCTCACTTTGTCCGAGCTTACCCTTCCCCC